ATAGTCAAAATTAAAAATAATCAATTTCTAGTTTAAGATATTTGATATTGAATATTTCAATTGAAATTAAAAAAAATATAAGTATAATTATTTTAAATAAATTTCTTTTTAATATAAATATTTTATATAATAAATTAAGTAGAAAGAAAATTTAAGTATTAAAAAAAAATATTTAAGTATAAAATATTTTCAGCATCTTATTATTTATTATTATTATTATTTTTAAATATAAAATAATATTTAAAGTTAAAAATTAAACAAGGTAATAAATTAAAAATTTGTAAGATTTATTTAAAATCGAATAAGAAGATATGTATCATGTAAGGCGCTAGCTTCGACATATGGCTGCTAGAGTCTTGTGTTCTCCACCAGACGACAATAAGTTATGGTATAGTAGAGTGGAAAATATGACAAGTATTATGTTTCACTAGTGTCACCAATATCATATTCTTTGATTTTTATTTCATACTATTTTTGAATTAGACATACTTTATTGAAAAAGTACAGATCGAAAAGATCGAGCACTTAAATACTGATTATAATTGTTTCTACACAGAGAAGTTAAGTATTCATCTGCCGGCCGTCAACTGCAACATTTTCGTAAGTATTTAATGTGTTTTTCTTATTTTATGGTGTCTTAAACATTTTTTTTCTTATTAAAAATATGATTACCAGTCAAAAAAAATTGCTCAATAAAGACGTTTCATTTATAATTCGTGTTTTTTTTCATCATTGTAATTCGCAAGGTGATATAACATTCCCATAATTCCATAGCACGTGGGTGACGCACATTGAATACGAATATATCAAAACTAGATATTACTATATTTCATTTGTCTTATATATAGTCATTTTATATATAGAAATTTTTATTAAATATAAATTATTGACGTAATTAATGATATAGCTTATGAAATGTATTTAATATAAGAATTAATTTTATGGTTAAAAAAAGAAATAAATATAATTTACTCTTTTTTGCAAATATTATATTTTTAATATTAAATTTTGTTTGTAGAAAATTGAATCATTTGGAAAGTGATATAATATAATAATATATATCTCATATTAATATCTCATATTGCGAATATGCTATGAGACAAGCATTAAATAAATTCATATAATAAATGATATAAACAAATAAAGTTGCAAGAATTTTAATTTATATTTCACTACATTATTTTAATTAATTAAACTATAATTACGAATAAATCTAATGTATAATATAATTTAAAATATTTTTTTATTTCTTAAAAATAAATATTTTCATATTAATTTTAAATTAATTCATGCTTATTTTAATAAAATTTATTTAAAAAAATATTATATAAATATTGGTGATGTAGAATTGAATAAAAATTTTTACAATTTAATTTTAATTGTAACATTGTATAAATTTTAGAAATAATTTGCTAATTTTGTATTGTAAATGGAATTTTTTATATTTTTGCGCCAAGTAATGTAGCGACTTCTGGAGAATTATAAAAGCTTTAGTTTTAATTTTGCCGCTAGATGGCTACTGTCGTTTAGTATATTCTCGCAAGTGCTCGATCACCTATACAGTTTGTATATAAGAGAGAAACAGGAAGAGTACTGTCGGATAGTCTGATGCTTCCCAGGTAAAAATCAGCGCATTATGCGGCCATTTAACAGACCACATCATGTGTCCGGTACTTCACGTACAGCCTTTTAAACCGTGTCGTCATCGAAAATTGTTTGTTTACTTTGTAAAACTAACTGTGGAAGTGAACTTGGGACTATCTTTTTTGTAACTTTTATTTTATTGATTGTCTTCTTTTGATTGTCTTGTCATCTTTTTTTTATTTTATATATATTAAATTATATTTTATAATTTTTCATTGTATTTTTAAAAAATTCTAAACTACTTTCTAAATGTTAAATTTTATATATTTTTAATTTTTAATATTTCTTTGATAAGAAATTTTTATATAAACTTCTGTTTAATAATAAAAAAATAAGATTTTGTTCACAAAATATATCTTATAATGTATTTGTAATCATACTTTATATATCCATAATTAAATTATTATGAAATGCAAATATAATTACAAATCAAATATTAATCATAAAAATCAAATTTTTAATAATTATTTAGAAAAGAGAATTTCTCGCGGATTTCAATGATTCTGAAATATATTATAAAAAATAAAATTTTTAATAAATTTTTTTTATACATATAATTGTCGCTCAGTTTTACTTTTCGAGATATTTAAAAAAAAATTGCTATTCTATTGAATTTTATACATATGCATTTGTAACAGTATATATAACAGTGTATATGTGATTAATTAAAAATTGACAATCAATTTTTATGTTATGTATGGATTACTTTTTGAAATCTATGGATTACTGTCGAAAATCTATTTTTTTATGGATATGAGATTTTTTTAACTTATTTTTTTTAAGGTTTCTTTTATATATATATTATATATATATATATTCATGCATCATCTTTTGGGATAATTCTAGAAATCAAAACAAACACAAAAGTTAATTACATAAAAATATCGGTTTATTTATTAAGCTATTGCATTAAGCAATTGAATTAAACAAAGCGAGAGGAAAGAGAATGAGATCATTCTGTCTTTACTATATTATTATTGTATTCTGTTCTTATTTTAATTCATCCAATACGAATTTAAATTACTTATAACTTAATAAATAACTTTTTCTTCAACTGATTCTCAATTTTTATATATTTTTGTATTTATTTTGTTGTCTTTAAAAATTTATTCTTCAAAGATGTACAATATATTAATATTCTATTTATAACGATTGAATTACTGAAAAAGCTTATGAATTTTGATGGATTTAAATCATGTTAAAGTCACACAACGTTGAACTTAGGAATTTAACAGATCTTTCAAATCTGCAGAAAACAAAAATATATATATATAATAATCGAAATCATAACAATCGATATTATAATATTAAATATTGTATTATAAATTGAATCTGATTTTGCTATTATAATTATAATTTCATATTGTTTTATTAATTTAACAATTGTTTTATTATATTTTATTATATTCCGCAAGATCCATAGAATGCTTAAGTTCGCTATAGTTTCTATTAGTAGATATTAAGTATGGTGATATTAAATCATCTATGTACATGCATATACATATATTTTCTTTTTAAATACTAGCTGCTAGTAATAACTAATACTATAATATATCTGTATACGAATAGTTGATGTAATGTATGCGAATAGTTAATAAATGGCAGTTGCATGCTATATAGATGTATGTGTTATGCACACAAATGAAATGTAATATTTAGTATTTAACAATTATTTTTGCAAATATCTGGAAAATTAAGAAACAATTATGCATAGGAAAAAATTATTTAAAATGTTGTTCTTTATAATATATTCCAAAATCATTGAAATTAGTAAGGAGTCTCTTTTTCTAGATAATTACTGAATTTTTTATTTAATGTTTCTATATTTATTCAAAAAAATAAAATTGTATAACTTGTTTCTTAAGTTCTTAAGAAATTTGATTTCTTAAGTTCAATTATGTCTTTTTTTTTTT